GAAAAGAAGTTTTACTTAAAATGAAACATTAAGAAAAGGAAATAAATAAAAATAACTTATCAGCTCTTAAGTTTATTCAGAATTTACATGAAGGAAATTTAACCATGTTTTAAAAAAAAAAATCTACTATAATTCTCCCTAAAGACCAGTATTTCATTGTGCTGATTTATCATGTGACAACTGATAGAAATGAGAGTTTTCTTTACTGTCCATCTAGCTTGCATATCTGGATTATGCTTGGGGGAAATTTGTAAAATACAGATTAGGCACTCGGTTCCTATTGACGTGCCTCGGAGCTGGTACTTTATTTGCCCTTAAAAGATTCCTCATTTTCATCAAGGCCCATAATATATCATATAACAAAACATATGACACAGGGCCCAAAATTTACATGATTATATGATTGACTGCAGGATGTTAAGGTTTTTTTAAATGCCTTTAATTTAAAATTTCCTTTTATGATACAGAAGAAAACATATTTTAAAAGACCAGGATAAGATCAGCAGTCTATCCAATAGATACAGCATGAGGCGTGCTTCAAGCCAGCTAAAACTAAAAGCATACTATTTGAGATCCAGTTTTGGTGTGCATAACAATATTCAGATTTGAACATGCAAAATGCATTTCCACCTGCAAATCATGCAGCTGAACCTCAAGCTGCTAAGTTTCAATATAAATGTAGTGTGTGGAATTTAAGGTGTCACTATTGCAGTCACTGCTGTGGTAGCAGCTTGCATAGACATACCCCACCTAGAAGCTGGGTATCTTGCATAACTAGCCTAGTCACTACTATGCAGTCATACAGTGAGAGAATTCACACCAGAAAACCTGTGCAAATTAAAACCTGTGCATAAGGTATATCCTTAATGCACCAGTAATAAGGGCATTTTCAAGACATGCTACATATGCTAAGATTTTTACATAAGCATATTAATTTAATAGTTGCATGTGTTCTAAATAGATTTTAACATTTATTTATGCAATCTTAATTGTTCATTTGCATCCTTTTAAACCCTAAGGGTAAAATTCAAAACACAGATGAAGTCATTGAAGTCAATAGAAGCTTTGCCATTGAAATCACTGGCTGTCACCCTTAGGTTTTTATTGCAATGCTCTCAAATATACATCCATGTTCACAACGTTAATGCAGAGTTCAATATAATTTATGCTGATATTTTTATCATGAGCGAAAAAATAAATTAATGCTTCTTTAAAGTGTGTTGTGGCTGGCAATGCATATTGTTTTAATGTTACAGACAAAGTCCCTCTGACATTAAATGCTGATAGAAGCTGCAGAACTTTGCAGCGTTCTCTCTCAATATGATAGATTTTACTTCATATGAAGTTGCTCTCTTTTAGTTAGAAAAATAATCATGGTGGCCTCATTGTGGTGTAACGAGGCATGCAGGTGTGCACAGTACTTTTCTTGCTTAGACCTTTTTGAACAAAAAAACAAAAGGCACTAGCTCACACACACAAAAGTCCACTGCAGCTCGTCCTCTTTGACATGCTGCTGATTTTACTTCATCATTGAATCCGGGCTGTTGCTTTGAAGCTGTCGCCTGAATAAAATGTGCCACTTGGTAGTCATGGTAGCAAAAATTTTAAGTAAGGGGGTTTTTTTTTATAACAGAACTGTTATAATAAAAAAGTGTGTATTTCAGAAAACATACCTGCAGCAGCCAGACAATGCATCAGTGACCTTCAGCCCAAGCCTACCTCAGCAGAAATGTTGCCTGCTACCCTCTTACACGAAGAACACTCTGTGCATTCTTGGACCACAATAAAAGATATTATAGCTCTGCTTTTACTGCGCAGTGAATTTAAAGGGCAGAGAAACTGAAAGGTTGTAGTTTTCATGTTGGTTAAAATTCAGCTGGAGTAATAGGCCAAGCCAATTGCTTTTGACAACAAAATAATTCAAACCATCTCTGGTGTAACTTATACCCTGGCCCCGACCTCCTGGCTACAGACTGAACGCATCAGCCTCACAATATCTGTCCACCCTGGAAACATTTAATTTAGGCTGCTGCTGCTTCTGGCTAACCTGCAGATAAGCAGGGAGTCCTCTGCAAAGTCTTTCATCCCTCACATACCTCTTCATTGCTGACTCCACAGCTGGGTTTGAGGGGGTGGGAAAGCGCTAGAATTATATTCAGTTCTTCTCCTTCTCAGTAGAGATAGACAGGAACAACTACCAAAAGCCTCTTTTAGCAATCTAATAAAATAAATGTGTATATTTAGGAAAACATACCTGCAGCAGACAGACAATATATCAGTGACTTCCAGCCCAAACCCACCTCGGCAAAAATGGAATTTCATTAAAAAGGACAAATGTACCTACTGTATATGTAGAAAGGAATCTCTTTTTAAAACTGGATTTCCTCTTGATCCAAAACAATTGCCTCTAAACATTAACGTTAGCCTCTGTCTTGCATCTATTTATGTGACAAGGACTGGCATCTGCACCAAGCTAAAAAAAGACATTAGAACTGCAGCACAGAAGAGTTTCTCTTTGGATCTGATGATGAAAGATTTTCTTGTTTAACATACTTTATTTCAATGATTTTTCAGTAACATGGAATACACAGGAGACTCGTGTTGAAAGCCGTTACCATCAGACAAGCTTGGAAACTGGCAACATAGATAGTTCTATGATACCATCTGCACAAGGACTTACCTAGAACCAAAATGTAAAGCCAGAAAACAGGCTTAATCACTAACTTGTTTTGGCTGAGTCCAGGGCAATGCATACTTGCAGCATTTCTTACAAGTTCAAAGACTAGCTTGCACAAAATACTCCCCTGATTTGACATTACCTCTTGATTCCTTTTAAGCTTCAAGACTGAATTCCACTCGCCAATGAAAGCTCTGTTCATTTTTCCTTTCCTTTCCTACTTCTGGTTTTTTCTACCAGCCATACCATTCATAAAGTGGTCCTGCTCATACAAAAGACTGTTGAAACCTCAAATTTGTATGTCATTTGTCCAGCTGACCAGCACTTCCTATTTTTTTTCAAACAAGATAGAGTCGTCTCAAATACATGCATCTGATTTTTTTTTTTTAGTTGTGTCTGGTGTTTGCTGTCTTGCACAAATATAAGTGGCATGTGATTTCAACAGCTGAGAAGAACAGAGATCTCACGCGATAGTTGGGTGGGAAAGAAGAGTCACACATGAGAAATATTATAACTTCTCAGGATAAGATTCAGTATGTAGATCCACACTCCAGTACTGCACTGACAAAAGAAAACAGCCAACTTCCTTTTCAGACTCCCAGTGCTCCTGCAAATTGGAGCTCAGTAGAAGAGAGAAATAGGACAAGAGGTTTTTCTCTTTCCATTCTCCCTCAAGCCTGCAGCCACTTGGAAAAAAAAGAGATTCATAGCAACAATAGACACTCTCTCATAAAGGGCCACATAACAGCCTTGCAGCAAGCAAGCAGTACAGAAGAGCTGCCCTGGGGAGCACCAGAAAAGAAAAGGCCTCGGAGCCAGTGCCAAAAGCAAAGAGAGTCTAAGACATTATCATTGGAGCCAAATAAAACAGCTGAATGACAGTGTCAAATGACTCCTAGCATGGGTGCTAAGGGGAACATGCAAAGATGCCTTATTAAAAATATCTCTTCAAATACTTCCTGGTACAGCTTGATGGTAAATAATCAAAATCAGAACTGTTACTTGTGATCGGTGACTGAAGCTATATCCTAGTCACCATGTCTGTTCCCTAATTAGAATAGCATCTATGCATTTTCACTCACATTTGAGTACCACATATGTCCATTAGACTTAAACTCAGGACCTCCAGACCTATGAACAGAGCTGCTGAAGGGCTGCATCCTCCAGATGTGGCATGATCACATCTGGATCAGGCACAGTGGGAGATGAAGAGCATACACTGAACAGTGGGACTTTTCCACTTTGGCTTCTGCAAATTATTGTGTATGACTTTTTTGATTGGTTTTGTTTTTTTAATGAAGAAAAACGTTCATGGCGAGTAAACACAAAGGGCCATACAAACGATCCCAGGTATTCAGCCAAGTCTACTTTGCTGGCCCTACTACTGACTCTTAGTACCCATGGAAAAATGTATTACAAGTAAAAGGCAATAAATAAAAAAAAATTGACTACCATTCACACTAATTGCGCTAATTAAATTCTGCCTCAACAACACTGGGGTTTTGTTTTTGTTCTCTTGTTTCTGGAAAAAAAGAAAACTATGAGCAGTCTGAGTGTCATTCCCATATTTTCAGTTTAATCCTGGGTAAACCTGTGTTACCCAGAGAAGGAGAGCGTGTCTCTAAAGCAAATTGTGGTTTTCCTGATTAGGCCCTTTGTTTTTTCTTGCACTGCAGCAATCTGGTTAAGACCAGGCTGACTTGGTGCAATCTAATCTAAATGGGTACTATAACACATGTTGACACAACAAAATGCCCAGAGAAGAGATTATTTGATAGTATAAAACTCCTTTGAATTCTCAGTTGTTAAAAAGACGAGCCAGACCCAAGGAATCAGCATGACCAGCCAGTCTCAGGGAATCCAGCAGCTCTTACAAGCAGAAAAACGCGCCAAAGACAAAGTAGAAGAAGCCAAAAAGAGTAAGTATTTGGTCTGGATTTATTGTATTGTCCTATGGAACGCTCATTAGAAATACAGTAGCTTGGTAAAATATCAGTATTATTTCATCTGTACAAAGGATCATGAATTTCCTGCTGCTTCTACTCATTCCTGCTTGCCAGCTCACTCTCACCACTCAAATTACTACTAGTATCACCTGTGATCAGGCAATTAATCCATATTAAAGAGTTTGTTTAGCTCCTTTAGCTCTATCCTAATTTTATTTAGCTGTCACGAGCTGACCAGGCCTATAAGTGGTTTTGTTCTGATAGAAAATTGGGAGACTGTATTAGGAGTATCGGCAACTCTTTAAGAACTCAGAAGTCATCAAGAGTCAAACACCCCCAAATTCATAAGATATAAAAGTAAGAAAAGTTGGGCCCTTGTCACTGGTTTTCTGTCAAATATGTTGCAACCACAGAACATATTTTTTATTCTTTTAATCAAGTTCAAATAGTCACATAATAAATAATATAACTCCTGGAGTTGGATCTTTAAAAAACAAACAAACAAAAAAAAACATTATATATCACCAGTCACAAGAAAAACCATGAGAATTCACACCACTGTGAGGGTTTACCCCAATAATCAATGTAAGGCATGCAGTCAGCAAGAATATACTTAAAATCATGTTGCTAAACATTCAACTCAAGAAAAAAATAGCAAACAAAAAGTTGAGATTCTTTTAAGCATATTAGGTGTCTGGGTATATAAATATGAGGATATTACATTTAAAAGCTTAATTTATCAAAGGCAAACATGGGCAAAAGGAGTAATGAAACAAAGGTAATACGTACAAGAATAGCAAACTCCACTTGCAGCTGCAAATGAACATCCTTAGTATTTAAATAAAACAAATTATCACGTCCCTGCAATCTCTCCATGCATATTCTTCCTCATTTTATGTATGGTGCTCTCTGTGATCTCAGTAGAAGAACATGTAGAATGCACTCCCACTACTAAGTACTTATTCATCAATTGTTGACCTGCCTCAGCTTCACAGGGGGGATTACAGGTGATCTTTCACAGATTCTGAACATGGTTTAGAATACTGTACCTTTAAATTTTATGTTACATGACTGACCTGCAACTGAAAAATGTTAGGAATCAGAGAAGAAAGCCAATCAAAAAAGAGGAAAGAAATGGTGGTATGGAAAGAATGTTTCAAAGCAAAGTTGCTGAGGGACTTAATCAGACCTATATACTGTGTAAGTGTTGTAGAAGGAAATATACTACATGGAAATATAGTCTGTGTTTCAAGTAGAAATGTAGACTGCAGTGTTGTGTCAATTAAGAGACCAGTCCTGCAGCCCTAGTACACAAAACAGTACTGCTATTAATGCAGTCATGTATTGTTTATGTGACACTAACAGTTCACTATGTGCTTTGCCAGTCAAATGGCAGGGTCTGTTCTGAACAGTTAACAATCTACATCTAGATTATGCTCCAGATACATGCATGCAGTGCCATTAGTTAAAAAAAAATTAAAATCTCTGTACGACCATGCAGAGGGGGTTAACAAGGTGTTTCATTCTAGGTGCCCAGGAGTAGGCAGTAAGTTTCTGTCCTCAAAGGAGATAGTTACAGGTCTTGCCATGTATTAACCAGCACAGCTGAGCTGCCCTGGGTGGTATTGTGATTTGTACTGGTATAAGCCAGATCCAAATTACTTTCTCAAAAAACAAGGGGATAGTAAAAAGGGAACTTTCTCTCTCAAAGAGGCACAGCCTGGACTTAAATGAAATCAATGAAAGTTTTGTTTAAGCGCAGCAGGATCAAGCCCCTACTGATAACATGAAATTGAGAATTAAAAAGGCAGCTAACAGTAATATTTCAAATAAAAAACTCAGACAATTTTAAAGTGCAATTATAATCAGGAGCATAAAGTTATGCCCACTACTTGAATATTTTGCTGAATTAAGGTGCAAGATTCGAGTCTTTAGGAAAATACATACATACGTCCATCACCTTAAGCACTGCTACAGAAGATGGGATGCTTCAAGAGCCTCCCTAGCATAAAGCACTTTCCAAAACCCCTTGGAGCCAGAAACTTAAATCAGAATACCGAGTGTTCCTGTCAGTGCTTTGCCACTAAGCTGAGAGTTGGTCATTGAATACAGACAACAGGTTATTGAATGTTTTATCATCAACATGCAAGAAATATATATATTCTTTACATATGTCCCCCATACAGTTTTTAAGCAAAGTATGCTTGTCACCATTTCAAAAGACGGAAAAAATCAACTACAGCATGTAAAAGCAAAATATATGCCCTCTCTCAAAATTGGATGAAGTACCAGATTGCCCACAACCTACAGTTTGATAGATATTTGCCTTTTTGCTAAATAATGTAAGCTTCTCCCACAGCATGGACCATAGCCAGTATGTGGGATGCTAGCTAATGCTGAGAGGTGTCTGTGTAA